CAATTAGCCATTCCGCGCACCGGCCAGGATTCCAGGGGGGCGGGGGCTGGGTGGCGGGAAGGGGGGTCCTGTGGGCGACCACGCACCTCCTGTTTGGGTAAGAAAGGGGGGATGGCGGGAACGACAGGCCGAAGGCGAAGCCCCCCGTGTCCGCAGCCTCAGTCCCCAGCCCCGGGGTGAGTCCCGAGCCGGCGGCGGGTCCACGGGCGGCTTCGGCCTGAATCGGACCTTTATGAGCCCGGCGCTCGCCTGGGGGATTGGGGGCCGGCGCCCCGCGATGCTGGGTTATGAATGGGGGCCCTCAGCCGTTTCCTTCTCATTTAATTTATCATTCGTGCTGTCTTTCAACACCAGGCCCGGCCGGCGGCGCAGGAATGCAGGGCTGCCCAGAGACGCTCTGTGGCCAGGAGGACCGAGGGAAGAAAACCCCCTCTGCCCTTCTCCGGGGCTGGGCTGCAGTGTGGGTCCCCTCCAAGCCCGCCGCATGGGGACAGCCTGGGCGGAGGTGGCGCCAGGGAGGGGAGGCCTCCTGAGACCCCGCCGGCTCCCGCCCGCCCGCTGCCCTCGGCCACGCTGGCCCCGAATCCGGGTGAGCGACATCACCATCCTGGCTCGTGTGGCCACAGCCACTGCAGCCATGGCCACGGGACGGGCGTCTCCGGGGCTTCTCTCGCAGCCTCTGGGTTTGATGGGTCCTGTTGTTTTTGGCGTAAGGAGGTCAGGATTCCCGCCAGTGCGAGGAGTGGAGAGGAAGGGGCCCATTTTGCTCGATGCCAACGTGTGGACGGGGCGGAGGGCCTCGGCCTCTGGGGAGGCACCGGGTCCGCGCAGGGACCTGCGAGGGGCCACGTGGGCTCAGGAAGGCCGGGCTTGGCTCTGACGTCAGGGGCTGACTGTTCTGTTGACAGAGTCTGATTGAAGGTGAGAAATACGTCACTTCTCTGTACCTCACTTCACTTTCGGCCGTTTCCTGACTATCAGCACCTTTGGGAAGCTGAACACACACTCGCACATGCACACACATGTGTATGGCATGCACACGGGTATACACGCACGTGCACACACATGCACACACTCTCTCTTTTTTTTAAATCTTCACCCGAGGATATTTTTTCCATTGCTTTTCAGAGAGAGCGGAAGGGAGAGAGAGAGAGACATTGATGTGAGAGGGACACACAGAGTGGTTGCCTCCTGCACACACCCCAACCAGGGCAGGGGATTGAACCCGAAACCCAGGTACGTGCCCTTGGCCGGGAATCAAACCCCGAAACCTTTTGGTCCCAGGGCCAACGCTCCAACCACTGAGCCACACCAGCCAGGGCTGGAGGTTGGAAATTTAACTTCCTCACAGCCCCCTGTCAATGGAGCCGCCACGTCACGGTTTTTCGTGACACCGGTTCTCAGGTTCACTTTCTTCACGGGCAAGTGGAGAACCTTCTCAGACTGCCTCGTATCTTCATTAGCACCCGTGTCTGTGTGGCCGTCACTAACTCATCCTGAAACTATCTTAAAAAGCTAGAACGGCCCAGTCAGGCGTGGCTCAGTGGTTGAGCGTCGACCTGGGATCCAGGCGATCAGGGTTCGATTCCCGGTCAGGGCACATGCCTGGGTTGCGGGCTCGATCAATGACTCTCTCATCATTGATGTTTCTATCTCTCTCTCTCCCTCTCCTTTCCTCTCTCTGAAAGCAATAAAGATATATAAAAAAAAAAGCTAGAACGTGTCTCTAAAACATGGCCAAATGCCTCGGCTTTCTGTTAGTTTCATTCATTTATTTTTAAATTAAATTTAATTTTTTTAATGTAAAATAGATTTTATTGAGATTTAGTTATAAATAAAGAATAGAATATCGGGGTGTGTGTGGAGGAATGACATGGATACGTTTATTTTCTTGGCCCTGGACACCTGCTGAGCTGTGGGCCCGGCTCTGCTCGCCCATGGGGCTGCGTGGTGCCTGGTGTCTGTCCACCTCCTGAAGTCCCGTTTGCCGTCTCCAGAAGGAAGGCTTGGCCTCTGGAGCAGCCGAAGGTGTGATTAGAGCGGCTGTTCCCGGGAAGAGCGGGAGCTTCGGAGCCCAGGCTGGTGACACAAGACACACTGATTTGTCTCTTGGTCTATCCGGTGCTGGCTTTGGAGAAAGACGACAGCTGCTGAGGAGGTTGGTGCCATCGTGTGTGGTTTCGGCACCTTGAGTTCTCTCGGGTCAGCCGTCTTGTTCCTGTTCTGAAGGCTCATCAGCTTCTTTTTTCCTCTGGACAAAGAATTTAGATCTTCGATTTTGAAACCAAACGTGGACTCTTGGCTCTGGAACCCCAACTTCCTTAGCAAGTTGCTCTCTGGAATCAACCCCAGGATACGGGTCGTTCTTTAATGCCGTGTTGAGGGTGTGTAATCGGGAGGAGGTGTAGATGGTATGAGGCCGCCATCTACGTGGACTCTTCACAGGCTGATCTTGGGCTTGGCTGGCTGCTAAGTCCTCAGGCTCTGGTCTTCTCTGGAATCCGTGCTTAGCTCTTTGATTCTGAAACCAAGTCTGGATTATGGGCCCTTCAAGGTTCATTTCCAAAGCAAGCTTTTGCCTGATATTGTAACTTGGGTAAGGTTCTTGGTTGAAGGCTCTGATGAGGACTGTCAATTGATCTTTTGTGAATTTTGTGCGGGTGGAGCATCTCCTATGATTCACTGCCTTGGGAGAGCCGTCTTGAGCCATGTTGGGGGACAGACGTCTCAGCTTTCAACCAGGAGACGGAGATTGGTGGTGAGGCTGTTTTTTCCATTTATTTTTCTTGGATTTCTCTCCCCCTGCCCCCACTCCATGCTGTTTTGGTGGCTCATTAGTTATCTTACTCAGGACACATTTGGGAGTGAAAAAGGTACTACTAATAATTCTACTAGGAGACAGGCATTGGTCAGGACAGTCTTAGAACCAGGACCCAAGTCCCCCCCGTCCCCCCTTGGGCTGTCTTGGGACTTGCTGTCACCATTACTCTGGAAATTCTTCTTCTCTTCTTGGAGCTTGGATTCTCTGTTTCCTAGATCCCACTTCATCTGTTTTTTTTTTTTTTTGGTTTATGCCCTTGATTTCCTGGAGTGCATCCTCAAGTAGCTTTCTTAGAAAGGGTTCGTGGAAAGTAAAAATTTGAAGCCCTTCAATCTTTGAAATTGTCTGTATTCTACCAATGCTCTTGATTGTGTGTTCGTCTGAAAACTGGATTCTGGGCTGGAGATGATGTCCCTTTAGAATTTTTACAGCATTGCTCTGTTGTCACCCAGCTTCCCGTGGCTCCCAGGTCTGACCCCATTTTACTCCTGACCCTTTGTACATAATCTGCTTTCTTCCCCCTGCTGGAAGCTTTAAAGTACGTCTCTTCCCCCCGCATTATGACTCATGCTTCTATGTCTTTGTGCAAATAAGCCCTCCTTCCTGGCACTTTCTCAGTTTCTTTTTCTCTCTTTCGGGTCAGCAGCTGGACTCCTGGGTTGATGGACCAACTAAAATCCCATCCCCCTTCTCCCAGGTTCTCGGGGTACCATGGAGCTTACTCATAATGGTGATGATTTAAAAAGTCTCCTTTAGCCCCAGCTGGCGTGGCTCAGCGGTCGAGCGTCATGAACCAGGAGATCGTGGTTCGATTCCTGGTCAGGGCACATGCCTGGGTTGCGGGTTCAATCCCCAGTGGGGGACGTTTCTCTCTCTCCCACTTTCTTTCCCTTCCTCTCTCTGAAATCAATAAAAAACCCCAATGAAACAAACAAACAATAAGCCCATATCTACTTTAAAGCAGACGCCTCAGAGGCACTTGGTTTTAAGAAGACCCTAAGGGAGGCACGCTCTGGGGAAGCCAGTGGGCTGTGCTCTCAGGGGTCACTGTGTCACTGCAGTGTGCCAGCCCTGGGGCCACCTGGACTCCCGCGGCCGTCCAGTCTTGTTCCCGTTTCCAGGATGCCCCTCAGCCACATGGTCTGAGATCAGCTTTGGGGCCGAGGGCCTCATATGTCCAAGTCTCACTCCTGGGCATGTCTCTGCCCGGGGTCCCCAGGAGGGAACCTGTGCCCACCTGTCTTAGGCAGAGTCAAGGTGGGACAGAGTCCTAAACCTGGGCCCGCCTCAGTGACTGTGGGCAAGTCGCCTCCCGGTGGCCTCAATTTCCCCCATTCATGGCCTTGCTGACCCTTGAGGGCCCTCTTACTTCTGCCCTCGGGATTAGCTGCCCTTTGGGCCGTGTTCACAGACCAAGGATCCCCCAAACTCAGCAGCCCCTCAATGTAGATGTCCCTGTCACCGAGGGCACATTCCTTCCTCATAACTTCCAGCCCTGAGCTGACCACAAGTGCTTGTCCTAGACAAATCTAATCTATGTCTCCCCATCCCAGCACCAGCAGCTCCCCAGCCACCCTGGGCGCGGGGCCGCGCCTCCTGTTGTCCCCGGACCGCTCTCTACCCTGGCAGGGAGCCAGTCTGGAAAGTTCCTCCTGATTTATTGTCTTAGAAACGACCCGCAGATGTGGCCACGTCTGCTGGCTGTTGCCAATTAAAGCGTGGAGGGCACTGGCCCTCTTGGCCCCCCAGCCTCCCTCCTGGGGGTTTGGGTGAGTCCTGCAGGGGCTCCCTGGGACGCTGAGCCGCAGGGCCTGTCAGTGGGACTGTCTGCCTCCAGGGAGCCATGGATGCAACGGCCCAGGCCCTAGAAGGAAGGCTCAGTGGTCCACAGCCAGTGTCCACTGCCAGAGGGGCTCACTGGCCTGAGTGCGGCTTCCGATGGCCCCGCAGTCCACCCTGGTGCTGCTTCCACTGGCTCGGGACACCAGTGGTGGGAGTCACTGACTTCAGCTTGGCGCCAGGATTGTGACTCTGGACAGAAAATGCCATCAACGGTGTGTGTGCATGTCGGTGTGTGTTGACCTGTGTGCTCCAGTGTCAGGTGTGTGGGGAAACGTGTGTGTCCGTGTGTGGGTCCTACTTGCCCTGAGGACCCTCTCTGCTGACTGCTTGTGCGTTTCCGTAAATGCACAGAGAGGTCTGGCCAGGACGGCTGTGGGCCGGCAGCCCCTGGGGGCTGTGGTCAGGGTGGCCGGGGGCTACTGGCCACCAGCCTGCACAGCGAGTGACTGGCCCACATGGCTCATGGAGGAGTCTGCCCTGGTTTGGGCCCCTGACTGGCATCAGGTGTGAATGGGGCCCCAGGCCTGCTGGAAACCGTCCGTTCATCTCAGATGTGTGCTCCCATCTCCAGAAAGCAGGCAGCTGGCAATGGTGGCGATCACTGGCCGAGTCTCCCTCTCGGGCTGGCCGGGCAGGACCTCGGCCTGCACCCCTCGCAGGCCGCAGCTGGTGTTCCTCCCGTGTTGTGCCGTCAGTCTCCTGTGGGCAGGAACTTCCAGGTTTCACACTAACTTCTAGACCCTCAGCCCTGCGGCCCAGCTCAGGTTGGGGGGTGTCCAGCTTGTCCCACTGGCCCTCGAGGAGGAGGCACCTCATTCCAGACCGTCACCCATGTGGTCACAGCGAAGGTGGCTCCGCAGGGCCAGAAGCAGGCAGAGGGCTCTGGGACAAGCGGAGATTCACAAGTGTGGCTGGGCCGTGGAGTCCACGTTCCTGGAGAGAGCCCTGCTGTGGAGGGTGGCAGGCGGGGGTCACTCCCTCGGCGAGAATTCCCCGAGTTGCCTCACTGGTTGGTCTGTGACCACAGAGCCGTCCACCTGGCTATGTTGTTGAAATTTAAAAAAAAACTGAATTCATTAAAAATTCGTCTATACGTAGAAGCCAAAAGGCCCCAACCAACCAAAATGATATAAAATTAAACGAGAAAACCGCGAGCACAGGCACAAAGCAGCCTCCACGGGCTGCCGGCGGCCGGCCCTGCCCGGGGGGGACCCCAGCTGTGTGCATGCAGGTCGGCAGCCTGGACCCACCTGCTGGGACAGTGTCCCGGGGGCCCCGCTTCTCTGGGTACCAGGTGTGACCTCAGGCCTACTTCCTCCCACAAGAGAGAAAGTCCCCGGACCTGGGCACCTGTCAGCTCCTGCTGGGGACGGGGCCTCTGGACACCACTGTCCCCTCCGGCTTCCTCACCATCGGGGATTTAAAGTGAGTGGCACCAGGCAGGACAGCTGGTGGGGGTGTCTTTGCCTGAACCCCAAACCACCAGTGGGCAAGGAGGGGGGCCCTGGGCCTGGCCACCCCCCGGGCCGGCTTTGCTTGACTTGGGTCACCGCCCCGGGTCTGAGCCCACGGGAGGCGGAGGTGTGGCCGGCCAGCCGCAGCTCCTGTTTCTGACGGAGCCCTGGGCACCTCGGTTTAATGGATTAGTTAAAATGATGTGAAAAAATGGATCTCTGATTTACGACCTGCAATTTTTTGCTGACTGCGGCATGTTTTCTCCGAGGCCCTCGTTTTAAAGTCTCGGGCACATAGGGCCTTTGTTGTTCCCCGGATTTTGCCCTCAGGGCTCATCCGCGGACCCCGCGCCCGAGGCCCCTCCAGACCTTTAAAGCAGGAAGTTTAATTTTATAGAATTAAAAAAGAGAAAACGGCACTTAATTATCTGGCTGTGAAACAGCACTACCCTTTCTTAATTTTAGTAGCTAATAAAATGCCGTTCCCGGAGTTAACTACTTCTGGTCCGAGCGCCCCGCGCCGGGCGTTGGGGTAGGACGTTTTATGAACTGTTATATGTTGCACTCCGGTTTTTAAGCTCCGCTATGACATATTTCTCTCAAGATTTACTAGGAATTTTTATTTAAAACAATATATTAAACAGGGGAGAAATAGTAATCTCAGGTAAAATTCAAATATTAGCAAAACATAACGTGGACCCAAACCTCTTTT